TAAAACATCTCAAAAAAACTTTGTAATTTTGTATCTGTACATTAAATCTTGATTTCAGCCGAAGTGAGAATAACTGTGACATAGTATGTAAAGTGGTAAAGTAGATGTTAATATCAATTGTTATACAATCTGAAACTTTTTGGCACCTTTAGGACTTTCTTGCTAAATTATCATTCATTTTGGATTGAAAATGAAAAAAAAAAAAAAAAAACCTGGAGCAGTCAAGATTTTCTGTACTCCGGCTCTGCTCCAGCTCCGGGCAAAAACCTGCAGCTCCACTGCTCCGGGCTCCTCTCCAAAGCCCTGCTTCAATCCAGGTTTCCCACTACCCATTGGGTGTAGTCTCTCTCTCTCTCTCTCTCTCTGGCCCAGTGACTATTTTAAGTATTTCACACAAAGTGGAACAGTTCAACAGGAGAGTGCTCTAACCCACTGGTTCTCAAACTAGGGCCGCCGCTTGTTCAGGGAAAGCCCCTAGCGGGCTGGGCCGGTTTGTTTACCTGCCGCGTCTGCAGGTTCGGCCGATCGCAGCTCCCAGTGGCTGCGGTTAGCCGCTCCAGGCCAATGGGAGCTGCAGGAAGCAATGTGGGCTGAGGGATGTACTGGCCATCACTTCCCACAGCCCCCATTGGTCTGGAACGGCAAACCGCGGCCCCTGGGAGCTGTGATCAGCCGAACCTGCAGACGTGGCAGGTAAACAAACCGGCCCGGCCCGCCAAGGGCTTTCCCTGAACAAGCGGCGGCCCTAGTTTGAGAACCACTGCTCTAACCGCTTGAGTTGTTGGTAATAAGGAGGCCACCCGCCCTCCTGTCTTTTTGGGGAGGAGGGGTCAAGGTGGGCTCTGAGTACACCTACCAGATCAGGCCCCACAGGGGAGGTTAGGGGGAATTCACAAACTAGGCATTCCTCCTAGGTGGCTTTGTACCTGCCCACCACCAGAAACTGAAGTGCCTAGGGGATTTTACCAATGGAAAATTAGGTGCTTAAGGTGCCTACAGGGTTAGCTAGCAGCTGAGTAGTGGTTTTTGTGAATGGCAGTGGCTTGATGCTGAATTGAGGCATCTCAAGGGACAGTTAGGCATTAAATTCCCTTTGTGAATCTAGGCCTTAGAGGCTGATCCTCCCATTCTTATACCTGTCAATTAATACAAAATGGGCAAGAGTTGTCAAACATTAGGATAAGCTCCAGCCTCATTTTGAAGTGTACAGCTGAAATGTCAATTAATCCTGCAAAACAAAAAAGGGTTAGATAGTCCTCTACAGCCAAGTTTCTGGATTATCAGCACCATCCACTGCACTGCATGTGCTGCAAGCTGACAGCCCAAAACAAAGCAAAGAAGTCTGCCTAGATCTGTAAGTAGCTCCATTTGAAGTGTGAGGAAGCTTTAGCTGCCTGGGTATTTTGACACACTCATCTGCTCTATTATTCTTGCAGTGCATTCTAGGTTAGGTGACAAGTCTAATGGATTCAGTGCTAGCATTGTACAACAGCTGTGGGTTTCAGTGTTGCTTAAAGCCAAGTTGGAAAAATGTGGGTTATTGGAAATGTACTTAGAAATGTAGAGTAGTAAATTGCTGTTTCACCAAGATCTTGATCAGAGAGCAAGATGAGACTTAAGTGCTGCATAACCACTTGACTGGTATTAAACATTCTAAGTCCTTCCACACAAGCATGTCAAAACAAATTAAACAATCCATCCCCTGAGGTATTAGCCCCCCACCTCCTTACTCATGAGGAAAAAATCAAGGGAGAGATGGAGTGACTTCCCCTAACAAGTCTGGGCTAGGGACAAATAGAATCCCCTTCTTTTGACTCTATCCTACAAAGTCAGACTTCTTCCCCACTTCAGCAAAGTACAAGCTTGAAGGATGAGCATGACCTTCTCTCTCTATTCAAAGCACTTTGAAGCATGTGCTTAAAACTTAGCATGCTTCCTTCCGTGCTTTACTGAATATTAGAGCCATACAGGGCCACATGCTCCTCCCTATAGAATGATATGAAAAGAAGCCCTAACACCTGCAGAAGAGAGCTGTGAGTCTGTAGCATAGCCTCTGCTTACAGAGACAGTGATACATACACCTCAGCTCTGGGAGTGTCAATCTGGGCAAAGTCACACTACCCCTTTTCACCACCCCCTGGGATAGGACCATTATCACCAGCTCCATGGAACCTGATAGGTAAGTCTGCACAACTCATAGCCTGTCCCTGCAGAAAGTTATCCCCCCTCCTCCCCAGTATCTGTTTATCCCATTGCTTGAGCAGCAGTTAAATTCTGCTGATATATGGCTGCAACATGCATTCTTATTAAAAAAAAAAAAAAAAAAAAAAAAGCGCGTTCTGGAACCACCAATTGCTTCCCAGCTCTTCCGCCAGAACACCCATTTACCTAGAATCATTTCCTGAATCACAGTTCTGTCTGCAGAATGGTAACCATTTCGTTTTCCAAACAAAGTGAAATGTAAGTGTTATAGAGGTGTGCTACATTAACCTGGGTTGGTAAATTTTTTTCTAAAGAAGTCAACACCAGGATTGAGTGACAGGGACAGTAACTGCTTACAAAGCCACTATAAAGTGGCTCTTACCTATTTCTGTATAGCAGAGTGTCATACGTTGTGGCACATGTAACCTCATTTACAGTTTTGGGTTTTCTTAAACTTACGGTAAAAATTCAGGGATGTCATGCTGATCCTCATGCTCAAGTGCTAGCAAAATTTTCTATTTACAAGATAAAAATGAAATTCTGCAATAACAGTTATGTGAGCTTTTTATTTTAGACACTTCAGTGCGTGCACACACACACACACACACACACACCCCCACACACCTCAATTCAAAGTGAAGCCACAAAGTCTACATGATTATCATCAGTACTCACTTACAGTGCTGTTAATTTCAGTAATATCTGCATTGTCTGGTTGAGGAGCGTGGAATTTAATTACTGAATATTACTTTGTATGTCTCAATGTACCCACCAAAAATAAAAAAAATCAAAGTTATCTTTATTAATCCTGCTCTCAAAGAGCCTCGTGAAAGGATTTTTATGGTTTTAGTTGCACTGGAGCTGTCAACTACAGCTCACAGTCCAAAAAGTTTTCTTCGCTACCGAATTGCAGGACACACACAAAAAACACAACGAGAAGCCCTCTTCCCCTGTATCCTCCAAAAACAAAACAAAAACTAGCACCTTTAAGGGAAAAAACAACCGGTAAAGAGCTGGAAACTTCCACACTGAGTTTAGGTACCCACTAGTACATTAGAGGAACAAGAATGATCAGGCAGATAAAGGAGCGTTTCCTTCATAAGGCTGCATCCATATTTACCATTTTTTTAGAAATATGCTATGACAGTACACTAAATCCACACACCCCCTCCCCATTCGTTATGGTATACCCAGCCACCATTTTAATTGACACTTAAGACCAACACCATAGTTCTAGAGAAACATTTATTATAAGGTTGCAGGAATAATGCCAATATAAAGTCCCTTATTAAAACAGACTCAAGTTTTGAATCTGCAGCACTCTAACAACTCTTTACCAACTTTATACTGCAGTTCTCCACAAGGAACAATACTCTGACTGCAGTAATAATGCTACTTGCTCATAAAAAGTTCTGATCTAAAAAGTTTGTTGTACAAGCCAAAGTTGTTAAATTTACAGCTAGTCACATCCACAAGTGGGCCATATCAAGAGAGGTTTAATGAAACAAGCAGTTACAAGATAAACCAATTTATAACCAAAATACTGACACAAACTTTAGAGATTAACAGCAACTAAATCTATGACAACTAAATACCACAAAAATGAAACAAAAGTATAAAGAATTTAAATGTAAACTTAGGGAAGGTTCCAAATATACATACAAGTTCAATACAGTAATTGCACAAAATGAAAAAAGCAATGTTAGAGGTTTATAATCACTGAGGTTAGATTTTACATGCTTCACACCTGGAAGTTAAAACAAAACCTTTAACGATAAATCTTGAAAGGTTGGTTTTTTGTTTTTTAAACCAGAAAACTGAGTGCAGAGCAATTCTACAGAACTACACTAAATGTGCAAACCACAGATTATTAATGCATTAAATTTAATCATTCTGTGAAAAAAAAATCAAAAGGTGTATAAGAATTGATTCCGGCTACTCTTGAGGGCATTCTGGCCCAAAAAATTAAAAACAAAACAAAACTGCGCACATCTTAAAATTCTGCAAATTTGGTCAAATAAATGTGGAGGCTCCAGAATGGCATTGGGGAGCACAGGCCACTGGCTGCACAGAAGTGGGAGATCACTGTGCAGCTCCCCCCTCCTGGGACACACACTCAGTGATGAGGCTGCACCCAACCCTGACACAGCGCAAGGTCCGGGCCTGCTCGAGAAACACCCCAGAGCCCTACCCCTCCATGCACCAGGTGCGGGCAGGCAGGCTCAGCAAGGCAGGATCCAAGAGTGGGGAGAGAGGGTGAGGCTTGGCGGGAGGGTCTGGGTGTGAGGGGCCCTGAATGCACAGGGATGGACGGATGGGGAAGCAACTCCCTGTACAGTGATCCCTGCAGCTGAGGAGCAATGGGTGCAGGAAGTGTGTGGGGGGGGGGGGGGGGGGAAGGAGGAGGAGGAAAGAGTTTGTATAGCTTCCTACAGCCAGGGGAGAAATCTGGGAGTGGGTCTGACCCAGCCCCAGATGCCGTGCAAGGGAAGAGGAAGTCCAATCCTCCCCAGCCCAGCCAGGACTAGCAGCTGAGCCTGGCGCAGGGTAGGAGCCATCAGCTGTGTCTTCCCCAGTCCTGCCTCACAGTGATTTACCTCTCTGCCGGCTATCCTGGGCACCCAAAATGTACTGCTGAGGAGGGTCGCATGACCACTTTTGTGGTTTCCCTTTGTTTCCCCGTCAAAAAGTCATTTTTCTGCGGGGAAACACAGAAATCTGCAGGGACATAAATTCTGTGCATGCATAGTGGTATAGAATTCCCCCAGGAGTAATTCTGACCAAGGAATCAATTAACATTTTTTTTTTCTGCCTTTCCCAGAAAAATTCTAAGTCAGACACATTCAATGGATAAGTTGATAACACATTTCTTCTAAAGGTCTCAAATTTCAGTTTTACGTAAGACAACTAAAAATATTCTGTTATACCAAGGATCAAAGAAAGCTGAAACGGTGATTTTGTGTTTTGTAATACAAGCAATACACAGGAGATGCATAATAAGGCTTTTGATTATCACTGCACATTTTAATTTAGAAGTCAAACTGTAAAGCTCAGACTTTTTAATGAAGATGTGAAATAGTCACTTTCCATCCAGTGTCTTTCACTGTTGACAGATCTTTGTTTCAACCACAAAAGAATTTTCAAAGTGTCTGATTGTATGACAGTTCTCAGCTGAGCGCTTCTGGAGACCTAGGTGGAAGAAAAAAGTAAAATTAGCAAGCTACAAGATTGTGTTCTTTACAGATAGCTAGAAGTATTTCTTAGGAGATAACAGTTTATGGACTAGCTTGGTCTGGCAATATACAATTAAGTACTCAATAGTAGTGTAAGGTCATTCAGTTAGTTGTCACTATGGTTGTACACAAGCTTGTTTCTACTGATTAAATATAAAAAGCCACTATTCTCAGAGCTGTGTTGACATTATACTAGGGCTAAACAAAACAGGTGTTAAATACCGCTTATGAATAAATGTATATTTCCTTCTGTTTCTAGTACCCTTTTAGCCCTTCAGACTGTAAGCTGCTGTCTCTAAACTAATTAAGGTCATGCCATAAGCCCCTCTACTAAACCATAGCCCTTCATAACTCTTCCAAGCTCCTGAGGAAAATTCTCCCTTTGGTTCCTCTTTCCCCTCCAGGGTTCAGAAAACTGAAGTGGCTGCAGAGAGGGTGTTGCGGAACGCAATCCTTTTTTGTTCAGCCAGATACACTTACACCAAAACATTGCAGAGATTACTCCTCTGGGGCCCAATCCTGGTCCCAGAGAAAAAAAAAATAGCAAACCTTCCACTCACTGATAGGAATATGATCGTGCCCTTGATTGCCACTCTGCTAACAATGGATAAAATACATTGAAAACTTGACAGAGCACTAACAGTACATGTCAGCAGCAGACCCCTACCGTAGCAAAATTGATTCTCCCACGTGGTTTTAATGAAAAACGATTAGACAGAAGGACAAGAGAAACACGGCAATACTGTAATCAAAGCAATAGTTGATCAAATTCAGTCTCCCTAGTGGAGTGCTCTCAGTGATGTCAGATACCTCATGAAAGCTAAGAAGCTGACTATTAGGAACAGTTTTGTTTGGATAGTTTAACAGAACACGAGTTTCCAATGAAAGTCTCCCCCAGAGTACTAGCTGCTAACAGTCTGCTTATACTTTTATGATAAACTGACAAGAAAGTTGGCCTTCGCTTTGAATTTTAGCTTATTTTAAAATAGCTTTTGTAGAAAGTTTATAAAGTCAGTGGGAAGTTCTGTAACTGGGTATAAAACTGCCCTGTATATGGAGTCTCAGTTAAAAATTTACTAGAACAACAAAAACAAGCCACACACTACTGTCCTTCCTCCTCTGTTCCCCAAGCCCAAAGAACTTCCTGGGAAAACAACATGGTTTGAAGTGTCAACAAATGAGTGGCAAAAAAATCCAGGACATGAACTCCAAGAGTCGAGGACCTCTAACTAAAGGCACCGTGTCTTCAATCCCCAATCTCAGGCCTGGAAATCATTTGGGAAGTAACAGTTGAATGGAAGGTCTACTAAGTACATGATTCTTGTCTCTTCTCACATTATTTCCTCTTCTCTTCCCCCAAAAGCAGTGTTTGCAAAATGAGAATATACCATTTGATTTTCATCAGTTTTAGTGTCCCTGGTTGTATAGGGTATGGAAGCATTTACTGCATATCAATAACAAGACATTATCTTTTAGACTAGGTTTTTCTATGGAGAGTTTTAGACCCAAGCAATTCTCTAAACAGTACAATTACAAAACCCTAAAAAAAAAAAAAAAAAATGTAAGGGCAAACCAGCTTAATTACAGCAACATACTGTACCGCAGTAAAGTAGTTTTACTTATTTCCTGGAAAAGATTTACATGCAAGCAACTCATGTAAATGGCAGATTTGAACTCCTGCAGTCAATGCTAATGCATTAGCATGGCATGTCAGCAACACTAATGGAGGGTTAATACGCTAGAGCAAAAGAAAACGGATTATCTCGTATTTAGGCAAGTGCAGTCCACTACGCAAAGTCTTCAGTGCATCGACCACTCACTGGGACAGAGCATCCATCTGAACTAAAAAAGTGTGTGCCTACCAAGGGCGTTAAAATTAACATCCTCCCCCACACGTTTGTAAGCTTCTCAGGGGGACTGAGAGATTCCCCTGTTTCTGCATATAAAGCAGAAACAAAACAACTGATCCTTCAAAGTTTTATTCTGCCAATAGCAACAATATCAAAGGAACACGCAAAATCCGGTGGATTTGGAGCAGGAAGAAGACAAAGATAAATGTTGAGACAAGGTGGAGTTGTACCAGTTACCTAACAGCAGCACATATTATTAGGGTCCCTTGCTCCCTGGCCAGCCCAGGGATTGGTCCTACTCTGAGCAGGGGGTTGGACTAGATGACCTCCTGAGGTCCCTTCCAACCCTGATATTCTATGATTCTATGAGAAGCACCTGCAAATTTAAGATACAAAGAGCAGCACCAACAGGCTGTGAAGGAATACCCTTTCAGATCACTTCAGACAGGAGGATCACTGTAAAATGGAGCAGGGAAAAAGAATCTCACACAGAGGGAGGGAAAATTGGACAAGTTCATTGTTTGGCAAACAACTTCCTCTAACCAACCCCCTACATATTAGGATGCAAAGGTTTAATTTCTAGAAGGGACTGATATAACTATACTGTGAACTACATACAGTAATTCTAGTATTAAAAAAACCCCTCGAGTGCTTTAAAGAGCTGTGATGACCAGAAAGCTCCCAGTATCATTAGGGCTTTGGCGGCATATTTGTGTATTTAGACCTACTTCAAACACTTAGATACCAAATTCATTCCTGAATAGATGGCAGTGCTCTAGTTTGGTTGCAATTGAATCTTGCATCAAAATGTTTAGGATTTAAAGCATGAAAGTCAATTGGTATCACATGCACATCTAGGCATCTGTATTTCAGATTTCCTTTTAAGATTCCCTCGAAGTATTCATTACTTGTGACAACGAGCATCTAAAATAGTTACATTCTGACAAATTGTACAAACAAAAGAGAAATCCCCTATTATCTGAAGGCCAATTATCCAAACACTAGACTGTTAAATTTGGATGTCCCTCCCATCCCTGCAAACAAGATTGATACACAAGCTAGTTTCTCAAATTCCAAATACTCTATCATCTCAGGACCTCTGACTAGAACAAAAGAGTGAAAGTGAACTCATGTTCAGGTTGGTGTTTTGGGCATATCAATGAGGGTTTTGTAACCTGTAATAGACCATGTCTCATTGGAGGAGAAAATCTTCAGACTCAAAAATTCTAAAGGGGAACAAAACTATATTAAAATAAAAATGTAGGTAAACGTAGCAATAGCCTGTTTAGTGGGGCATTAACACCTACCTGTTTCTGGAGTGAAGTTTTTAGGTTTCCCCTCTCTATTGAGGTAGTATATTTCCTATACTGTAGGAAACACTCACCTGCTCTCTGATCTCTGCGCTGCAGTCTGAAGGTCTCTTTTCCTACACAAAGCTGGTAAATGAAGATGCCCAAATCAGACACATTATCTATCTCTTCTGTTACCACCATTTCTTCACGAACTAGATAAGTCTGAGGCAAGTAAGAACCAGTCTAAAAAAAAAAAAAAGAAAAGAAAAGGGAGTTAAATTCCTTCATTAATGTTCTGTTAAGAAATGTATTAATCTTCTGGATGGTCACATAACAAAGAATACATAATTTTGACCACCACTGGATTTGAGTGTTAATTCTGTTCATTAGATTGTTAAACAAAAACAGGATTCATTTTTAACATTACCTACCCATCATTGAGGGTCACATTCAAATTGTTAATTTCTTGATGTGCTTGGGTTGTGAGAGTGGGTCTAGCTTCTAACTATAACTTTCCTGATATAGTACCCCAACTAGCTTGAATTAAGCCTGACAGTCTAAGCAAATTGTTCAACCTCCCACCATTATTCAAAAGTGGTATTTCTGTATTTTCCTTATTTGAGGCAAACTATCTCCAAATACCATGAATACACAAAAGAGTGCAGCTACTGCTTCCAAATATATTAATGACATGACAGATATAACTTCTCTGTAGACGCAGCAGCTTCACATGCCCACTATAGCATATGGTATCGTAAGGAAAAGTACACCTCTACCCTGATATAACGCGACCCGATATAACCCGAATTCGGATATAACGCGGTAAAGCAGCGCTCCGGCGGGGGCGGGGCTGCGCGCTCCAGCAGATTAAAGCAAGTTCAATATAACGCGGTTTCACCTATAACGCGGTAAGATTTTTTGGCTCCCGAGGACAGCATTATATTGGGGTAGAGGTGTAGTAATGTTCATGACCAGAAGAGCAGTGCGCAACATGCTAAAACATGATCCTCTTCCTTCAGTCCAGCTATTAGACACTATCATGCCTGCTCCTTTTCAAAACGCACATATACTACATAGGAAAGGATTATAAAGTCTGCTTCCATGGAGATATGGGCACTTCCTAGCAAAAGTTATTACTGTTTCCAACACATGTAACTAAACCTAGAAACCAGCAGCCTTTAAAGTTTGTCTCTCTGGTCAGAGGTGATAACTACAGTCTATTGATTTCAATGCTTTGTTATGACACATTGTTTTTCTTTAGTTTGCAGAGGGCCTGAATAATATTAGAAGTTTTAAATGGTTTCAAAAGGCCATCTGATTTTCTTGGTTTTGGGTAAAAAAAAAAACCCTAAAATTTAAGATAAAGTCAAATTTTAATACCGGTTTCCTGTTGGGTTAAAAATGTTTATTTAAAAAAAATAAAGTTTAGGTTATTTGAAAGTTTAATGTCTTTATGAAGGTGAAAAATTATTATATTGCTGTATTTAACAAGCTGATCTGTGGCTCAAATTGCAGAAGTCTACACTGGCTTTGAAAAAATATCTACATAAAAACACAGCCAGGGAAAGTTCACCCCGTTTTAAAGTCACATTTGGAGGCAGAAATCAGTTTTTTCTTACTTTAACTATAAAAAAACAGAGTCCCTTGAAAGCGCCAATTTGTTTCAGAATTTAACAGTTACCACGCAACTGGTTTTGAGTTTGTATCATGAAATAAACTCACAACTGCACTTCAGTGAATGATTTGAGGTCAACAATTGGAAGAGCAAGTGAATTCAGTTCTTTTGTGAAAGTTTCTATTTAACCAACACAAACCATTGCAGTAACTTCCAATTTCAGACCGGTTTTCCAAATTCTGCTGCACGTTTCTCCATAGTGGCCAGATCTGATGTTATTTGCAAGTTCTTAGCTTTCTTAAAGCTAGATATTTAGTTACCCTGAAAACTCAAGTTCTTTATTCTTTATCCATTCACTCCTTTAGCTATACTATTCAAAGTAGTGAAGAAGTTGTACATACCGCCAGTTTTGCGAACAGGTCCATCAGATTCCTTGGTGGCATAACAATGGATGTGTTCAGAGGGATCACATAGCAGTTACCCAGTTGTAAGTCAAGATAAGCAGTCAGAAGCTATTATGGAAAGAAGTTTAACAGCTGTTCTCAATAAATCAAGTGCTATCTTAATTTGTGATGATTACAACTGACTGTTAATGAGTTTTGTGTTTCACAGAATCTAAGTATCTAGCAGGCCAAGATCAGTGCATATTAAAAACATCAAAACAGAATTAGTATTTTTAGACCAAGCAGTGATGGAACTAAAAATAAGTTTATTGTTGGTAATTTCAGAAAATGAAAAAGGCTACAGCTCTACCTTGCATAAGAGAACCTCCTAACTCAAAGTGAAAGACAGACCACGGGAGTATAAGCCTTAATACATTAAAAGAGAGTCTTCCTACCAGGAAGGAGCATCTTATGACAGTTAATATCAGGGAGAGGACTTGGTATATTGAAGATGTTTTCTTGTAATTATAGGAGCCTAATTAAAATATGGCTTTAGTCAGAAATAGTACATCCATGTTCTGGCTTAGTTTTCTGGAAACATACCCTGATTTGTCACTTTCCAGTTACATTATAATGCCTTTAGCGATAAGATACAGAACCCTCATGGGGCAGTGTAGTTATTAATATAAATAGCTAGACTAGAGTATTTGTATGAACTATAATTTAGCATAATACTTTGCAGAACCTCACTAAGGTTACCATAAGCTGCCTAGTCTCTTCAACTGATGGCAAGATTCTGACCCAACCCCCCAAAATCTATCTTTAACAACTGTAGATGCCAACGCTAAGTACTCAAAGCAATTTCTGTTTATAGAAGTGATATGTTTATACATAAACAATAGTGAGAGTTTCAGTACTGGTTAGAAGAGAAAAAAAATGTATTAAGTCTTTAGTAAGTAGTAATTCCTTAGGCATTTCAGCATGATTTTTTTTGCTCTCAATAAAGGTTCAACAATAGTCCAGGTAGACTTCATTACACAGAAACCCCAGTTGTAACCTTTTTCAGTCTCTCCCTTGAAATATGACCATGAAAGACTCCCTCAAATCCAGAGAGAAGAGGAAAATTGTCTCATTATCAGAAAGCCCCTTTTATAGCCCGTTCTTGGAAAAAGTGTTTGGCTTGAAAGCACTGTATTGGCCTGCTAAACCTAGCAGGTCATGAAACATCTTTAAAACACCCACATCATGCTGATTATCCTTCTCCTTTCCTCCCCAACCCCAACATGATTTTAGCAGCCAAAAGCTGCTAACTTCATGGGATTAAAGAGGGGGAGAGATTTTACTCTCTTGTCCCAATTCAGGTTCAAAACTCTCCTTTCCCCAGTTCATATTGCACAATTCATTCCCAGGAGTTACAAAATCTCTTATGGGCAACACTGTCAAATCACACAGCAGCTGACAGATCCATTCTGTTAAATGAACCTGTTTCATTTACTTTATGGTTGAAAAGACTTCCAGTTTTAAGAGAGAGCAGTGTAGCTAGAGTTTACATCTAGACTAGTAAACTTTGTTAACACCAAGGGGCAGATTATCAACAGACATTTCATTACTAGAAGTGCGAGATGCAGAATTGTTGGTGCCACACTGAAAGGATATAGTCTCAAAAACAAAGTCACATAATGCTGACATTTAAAGCTATCATCCAGAGGACACATCAGTAGTAAAAGCCATCCATTTTCTAAAAGCATTAAAATGCCTGTTTTAAACTCACCCTGTCAAAATCATGAACAATAGCTGCTGGGTCGCTATCCGAGAACTTCGGAACTGGAACATCAATGATTGCTATGTTATCATCTTCCCGAATATCAGCTTCTTCTGCAATGGGCAGGAAGTACGGTTCTAGAGCACGATCCTGATTTTCATTTTCAAAGTAACACATTTCCCCACGGTACACCTTATGCTAAAAATAAAAAGTCAGCTCTGTTATTTTTTGGTGTTGCATTTTATTTTTAAATTTTAATCTAACACTAAATCAGAAATTTAGTGTAGTTCTTTTCTACTCAAGCTTCAAGTATCAAGGCCTGTCACTCATTTCAGTTATTAAGCCTGAATTTTTATCAATACCATGACAGAAATCCTGTAATAAACGTACTGTTTACAATTAGTTAATATTTTGAATTTTGGGTTGTCAAAATATGAAAGTTAACAAAACCAAACATTTATTCTGAACAAAACAAATAAATATTCACATTACCTTAGGCATGAAGTACTTGTAGATGCAGGCTCCACCAACCACAACCCCTGCTAAGATGAATGCAAGACCCAAAAGCGTCAATAAACATCTTCCAGATGAATTTTCATTTCCATGTGTTGCAATTTCTGGATCCTTTATAGAAAAAGGAATGAGAGATTTGACACAATTTAGTTGCCTAGAATTTACAGTCATCGTTATTCTGCTACCTGTTTAAGTGCTCAAGCTTGACTTGTGATCCACATGGGGTGTCACTATGGGCATGGCTACACTTGCAGAGATGTCTCTTGGGAAAAAGAAGCTGTATCTGAGAAAGGTTTTCCTGGTATGATGCCATGGCAACTTAAGACCAACCTTTTAAAAAACACGTGCAATGAAAGTGTTTAGTGTAAAAATATAGCTAGCAGCAGAAATTTCAAAAATCCTTTGGAATTCCAGAATTGGGCAAAAATGGCACGTTCTCTGAAGTTAAAACTATTCCACTTCAGAATATTCAAAATAAATAATTGCTCACAGTAGACTCAAAGTGGGGGGGGGGGGGGAAAAACCAAAAAAAAAAAAAATTTCCACTAACCTTAAGAGTAGCCATTTTTAACTCAATATGAAAAATATTCAAAATTTCACTGTTATGTCTTACATTCAAGGTACAACAGATTTAATGAGCTTGAGGCCACCTCTCAACTGTCTATCAGGTGTATAACTAACTACCCTTCTTCAAATATCTTAACTGAAGAAACTCCAGCAAGTTTCAAAAACTTTTAAAGCAGCAGACAAGATCATTTTTATTTCATCAAAGCTTTTTTAAAGCTTGGTTTTTTGTTTAATACAATGACCTCCTTTAGTAAGTTATTCCTGACAGGAGAGAGTGCATCAAAACAAAGCCCACCAGATGCTATGTAAATATCTCAGTGTCATTCTATTACCCCCAGTTTTCAATAACCTTTTCCAATTCTTTAAGTGATCTTCTCCCTCTGTTGCTGTGTAAGAGGCCCATACAACCAGGAGGTGGGCTCTATACACAGTGTTGCCAAATGCACAACAAATGGGAAAAATATTTTTATTCAGAGAAGTAACAGTAGATGTTACTTCTAAGAAATGGAAGCAAACGTCTCAGATAAGTGTTATCTTAAACTGACTGTGTGTCCCTTAGCTATGTTTGCCAACTGCACACACACCCAACAGCATATGCTGAGCAAATGGAGCATCAAAAAACATCTATAGGTTGGATTTCCCATGACAAGTTAGTGCAGGAAGAGATTACTATTGACTTAGATTCCAAGTTCTTTGGGACACGGACCATCTATTGTTTTTGCCTAGTGCCTAGCACAGTGGGACCCTAATTCATGATTAGCACCCCAGGCACTACTGGAATACAAATAAACAAGCACATTAAAAGGGCCTTTTGTAAGAATATTACTGAATTCCTTTTTTAAAAGGGATATCCATGTTTTGCTGAGCGCAAACTTGAACATTCACATAGGGAAGGAACTAGCTCTTAAGTAATCAGTTTTAACACAATTCTGTCCATGTCAGATGCTGGTTTATCGGACATTCTGCTTGCATACTACTGGTGTAACAAGTATTGCTTCAGCAAAATGGCCACTAGTAGCAGGTTGAAAAAGATCATTTTAAAATTATTACATTTTATGTGTAGTGAGAATTTGTTTCACCATACAGACATTTAGATTGTGGCACAAAATAAAACATCTTTTAAAGAAAGCTTACATTTATTGAGGTCACTTTAATTTTGTACCTGCCTATCTTGATCATGATACTGTACTGATACTATTCATATATACCATTAAATAGTTCCCCATCCTTTCACGTGATTACTTAAATCACATGTTGGTGTGCTACTGAATACTGTGGTTCTAATTGTTAAGGTACCCTAAGTAATCTAGATGGGTGCTTATTTCAATTTATAATAATAGAAAAAAAAAAAACCCAATGATGTTGGTTTGTGCTGACTATACACAAGTCATGAGACACAAAACTAAGTGATTGGGCAACAAAACGGCAAATGAAATTTAATGTGGATAAATGTAAAGTAATGCACATTGGAAAAAATAACCTCAACTATACATACAATATGATGGGGGCTAATTTAGCTACAAGTCAGGAAAAAGATCTTGGAGTCATCGTGGATAGTTCTCTGAAAATGTCCACGCAGTGTGCAGAGGCGGTCAAAAAAGCAAACAGGATGTTAGGAATCATTAAAAAGGGGATAGAGAATAAGACTGAGAATATATTATTGCCCTTATATAAATCGATGGTACGCCCTCATCTCGAATACTGCGTGCAGATGTGATCTCATCTCAAAAAAGATATACTGGCACTAGAAAAGGTTCAGAAAAGGGCAACTAAAATGATTAAGGGTTTGGAACGGGTCCCATATGAGAGATTAAAGAGGCTAGGACTCTTCAGCTTGGAAAAGAGGAGACTAAGGGGGGATATGATAGAGGAATATAAAATCATGAGTGATGTGGAGAAAGTGAATAAGGAAAAGTTATTTACTTATTCCCATAATACAAGAACTAGGGGTCATCAAATGAAATTAATAGGCAGCAGGTTTAAAACAAATAAAAGGAAGTTCTTCTTCACGCAGCGCAGTCAACTTGTGGAACTCCTTACCTGAGGAGGTTGTGAAGGCTAGGACTATAACAGAGTTTAAAAGAGAACCGGATAAATTCATGGTGGTGAAGTCCATTAATGGCTATTAGCCAGGACGGGTAAGGAATGGTGTCCCTAGCCTCTGTCTGTCAGAGGGTGGAGATGGATGGCAGGAGAGAGATCACTTGATCGTTGCCTGTTAGGTTCACTCCCTCTGGGGCACCTGGCATTGGCCACTGTCGGTAGACAGGATACTGGGTTAGATGGACCTTTGGTCTGACCCGGTACAGCCTTTCTTATGTTCTTATTTGCTGTTTGCTTATTTATCTTAGAAAGAGATTCTGTGTGTGAACTCTGACATCTGAGTTAAAATGTTTTCTGTACAACTATTTTCTGGTGTTCTCTTAAAATGTGTTGTTTCAGCAAACATTTGTGCCAGAAAACTTGTTTGCTTTCTACTATTATAGCAAATGCAAAAAGGAAATGAACATAAATAAAAGTGAATTCAGTTTGACTAAGTGGATTTGCATGGTATTCACACACCTCTAAGACCATCTTACCCTGGAGTTGGACTGAGGAGTTTGTCTATAGATGTATGTAGTTTAGTTTGACAGAATATTTTGAAAGGCAGAATACAGTCAACACAAAGTAGGTCAGATCACAAGCCATAACCCTATACAGTTTACAACAATTCCATCTTTCCTAATAATTGGCAACAACGCTTTCATAACAGCAGTGGCAGTTGCATATTCAGACAGAACCAATTTTGAGTGACAAAAAGGCTTTGACCAGCAATATGATTTTGGTAAAATATACAAAACTGCTTGAGCTAGTTGGCTCAGTCCTCCCAGACTTTCTTTGCCAACTTCACTATGAATGCTTATGCAAGAGTGCCACGTTTAAAACAGAGATTAGAGTTTGAAAACAACACTCCAGTCAGCTCGTTAATTACCGTGTAATCATTCCCCAGCAGGAGAACACACTGTTTACTGGGAGCGAGGAGAGGTTTTAAAGCTAACTTCGGGGCTGGCAGAGGGTGGAACAGGACGTACTCCTAGATGTTGAGGATTCATGGCTCAAGAAGGGTGGCACAGAGCATAAAGCAGGACATGTGCGATTGCATTCCCATAAAAGTCACCCCCCGCCCCCCGTTAGCTGCCCAGCCCGGAGCTGCGGCGCTCGCTGCGCAGCAGGGCTTTCATTGGTTGAGCGGAGCTCGCCGCACACTGGCTAGCTCGGGTCCCTGCGGGGGGCCCAGCAATCTGTGACGCCATCCAAACAGACAGTGGGTTAAAGGAAAGGAAATGGCTGTGGGGAGGCCAGAGCGGAGAGGCCCTGCACTCCCCGGCCGGCCTCCATTAGAGACAGGAACAATAACACTGCCCCACCCGATACACACAAAATGGATCCCTCCCTTCCTCCTTTTCGCTCCCCGTCCGCTTCCCCGAGCAAGCGCAAGAGCGGCCCGGGCAGGACAAGGGCACCGCAGCAACCAGCGCCCCGCTCCGCGGCGGCAGCTCACCGGGCAAGCCACTGAGCCCCGGCCCCGCTGTGTGCCTGTGACCAGGCACCTCCCCCGTGTACGGACCGAAGGAAGCCCCTCTTCCCCCTAGCGCGGCAGGGGCGATGACCCCCTCACCCGGCAGGCGGAAGCAAGGCAGGGGGAGTCGAGAGGGAGCCCCCTCCCTAGGGGGCGCCCTCAGCCTCCGCCATTTTAGCCCTTATAGCCCTTAGCTGGGGGCGCTATATCCGGCCCCAGCCAGCAGACGTTATGAGAAGATGGCGGCGGCCCGGTACCCCTCGTCGCTCCCCGGCGGCGGAGGAGGCTCGCTCCCCGCAGAGCCCGTCCCGCACCTTGTCAGCCACCAGTGCCTCGGCTGCATCCTTCTTGGGCTCGTCCTTCTGGGCGAAGGGAGAACTGAAGGCGATCTTCACCATGGTGCTGCCTGCTCCGAGCTGCGCAGCGTCCGATCACAAATCCCCCTGCCGCTGCCGAGCTGCTGACTAGAGCCCGCCCCGGCCAGGGGGAGGAGCCAGCGCGTGCCCCGTCCCTAAACTCCGTGCGCGCGCGCGCGCGGCCCGGCGCGTCCAGTGAGTCAAACCGCGAGCTCGTAGCGCTGAAGCGAGCGGAGCGGGGGGCGCCCCCTGCAGGCCGGGCGCGTCACAATACTGCCGCGTGCCGTGCTGTGCCGGAGGCTACCTTGGGAGGCCGAGCGGGAGTAGCCCCGGCTGCCTCATGGGCTCCAGACTCCATAGTCCAGTTAAAACAGCCCCAACCCCCCGTCTCCTGCCCGGGCTGCTGACACCGGCGGGGCTACCCCAGCGCGGGCTGTCAGACACCCACCTGTTTGGCTCAGTTATGCGGCGGGGTTCCGCTAGTTTGCACGTCTCAGCCTGGACAGGCCCAGGACGCTGTCAGTTGCTCCTCTCAACCAGGGCCTAAGCGCTGCCCTGCCACCTTCCTCTTTGGGGAAGGGGGTCCCCCTTGGGAAAGGCCTTTGGGCCCTAAGAATGACAGCCCCACACGGCCACCCCCCTTTGCCCCTGCGCCCTGCTAACCCCACCCCCAGAAGAGGAAATTAATAACAAAGAAAACCTTGCTCCAAGCAGAGTTTTGACCCCGAAAGGGAGATGGGCCTGAGACTCCATGAAGTCCACTAGGGACTTTGTCACCGTTGATTTTACTTGGGTGGCTGGCTGTGGGAAACCCTCAGCTAGGTAGGTAGGCATACTAAGAGTTAGTTAGATAACACCACCATATGATTGTTTTTTTAACAGTTTAACAAAACAGAATTTTGTCTCTTCCCCTCCCTGCCTTGAGGAGTGCATACTGTTCTGAGCCTTCCATCTGCCCTACAACCCACTCGCAAGGTCCCCAGTGTCCTGTCTAAGCAACTTTCCTCCCATGCAGGAGTGTTTTACAAACATTTTCATCAGTATTAAGTATCGTTTACTTATATAGTGCCATAATTGTGTGTGGCACTTTACAGGCAAATATGAAGACAAGGTTCCGGTCCTGACAAGACAACAGGAGGAAGACATCATTCATTGGGAGCAATACTGCTCTTTGGTATAGTATTGTTAGGTCCCTACCAAATTGATGGTCTGTTTTAGTCAATTTCACAGCCAGAGGATTTTAAAATTGGTCAATTTCATGGTGCAACCATGGGGGTCCAGACCCAAAAGGAGGTCATGAGGGGTCACAAAGCTGTTGTGGGGGGAATGACATGATTTCTACCCTCATTTCTGCGCTGCCTTCAGAGCCCAGCTCCGCTGCCTGCAGGAAGGGAAGGTACCAGAGGTAAATCTGATCTCCCCCCAAGAGCAGGGGAAGAGGAAATCCTGTCCCTCCCCAGCCTGGGGGACTAGCAGCTGGAGCCTGGTAAACAGTAGGAGCCCCTGTCTGGGGCACCCCTAGCCCTGCCCCTTTCTCTCACCTCCAATAGCTACATTTCAGGGGGGAAGTCTGATTTCACAGTCTGTGACATGTTTTTCAGGGCTGTGAATTTGGTAGGGCCCTAAGTATTGTATGGTAGTATACACACACACACACATATATAATAAGTTACTAGGACATAGACATATAGGTATCACATCACTCACCAATGAAAAGCAGACACCTCTGGCATGGGTGGGTGGCAACCAGAAGGGCACCATGCTGCACAACAATGTAGAGAAGGGGGCAAATTTTGACAAAATATATCTGTGACACCCCTTCTCATGAAGGGATCTTTAATGGCCACACAGGGCAGACAAGACTTCAGTGTTCAATTCCTCATGCGAAAGACCCTCACAGCGCAAACCACATGGAACTCCTCCACTTTAGACTGATGAAGGTTTGAGTCAATCCTGCTGGAATTTGACCGTACGGTTCCAGCAAGGAGTCTAGGTATTTCAAATCAAACGCTTAGATCACTGAGCCATCCTAGCAAGTTAATCATAATTAAACAGAACTAATTACTATGCAAATATTGCAATCATTAATGCCTACAAATGAGTGTAAACAAAATGAACGGTGCATTCCAACAGTCAGACATATTCCTCTCTTTCTACAGATGGCTGTATCACTGTTATTTCCATTCAAGGTCCTGGGCATAATGCTGCTTCCTTTTATATCTATAGGAATTTTGCCTTTGACTTCAAGGGAGGATGATCAAATCCTTTATATCTGTTTAACCTGTCTGGGTCTGCTAAGCGTGCCTATCACAAAATGCAGTCTTTCCTCATTTTCACCAAGTAACTAGCTAAGGATTTATTTCTCATTCTTAGCTTTAGCATGTCAGGAATGGATTCAGCCATGTTCCCCTCAACGTTCATAAAAAACACAGCTCCAAAATCAGGTTAGATAAATCTTGTTACAGAAAGGTACCACAGCCATGTTCATTTTCCTTTTGCAGCAATTGTATGACCTGCACAAAGCCTCACTCTCATGTACTTTACTTTTAATCTGGAATTTTATATTTTATATGAATAATTTGCATAACCTTTATCTAGTACAATTTCTTTGTTTAGTATTTCTTACCCAAATTGGCTTTATCTATCTCTCCTTCAGCATCTATTATCTTTGTCTGAGAGAGAGAATACTCCTATATTTCTTGATAAAACAGCAGAATTCCAAAATGATAAAACTAAGAGAGACAAGCAATTTATCTGGACTTTTATTTGCATGTCTGAACTTGATCACTCTCTAAATTCCATGTTCTTCATAACTTGAGATGGGTGCACCTCAAGAAGCTCAGTACTCAGGTAAGCATCTAAAAGTATAAAGGCCTTCTTGAAATTTATCCAAACTTCTTGCAAAATTAAGGTGGAAATCTCACAAACTTCCTTGTGAGATTTTATTTGGCATTTCTACTTCTAGTCTATGCCTGAAACCAAATGTAAAGAAATCATTTATCTCAACATTTCAGAACTTCCACAAAGTTTAATTTCTAAAAATGAGCAATGTTCAGCTAAATCATTTTTTATTTTATCCAACCATTTCACCCGTCTTTCATCTTGACACACACCTAGTAATCTCTCTCTGCTCAGCCACCAAATTCTACTCCAATCTGAAGCTATGTGTAAACCAATTAATCTGATCAAATTTTGTAAAGCACTTGCAACGGACAATAGCACTAGGGCAGTCAAACCCATGCTGAGGAACATGTACATTAGGGCAGGGGTTCTCAACCTTTTTCTTTCTGAGGCCCCCCCAAACATGATATAAAAACTCCATGGCCCTCGTGTGCCAAAATAACTGGTTTTCTGCATATAAAATCCAGGGCCAGCGCTAAGGAGTAGCAAGCAGGGCAATTGTCCAGGGCCCCATGCCACAGGGGGCGGGGAGCATTTTTCCCCGTGGGTGCTCCAGCCCGAAGCACCCACGGAGTCGGTGCCTGTGCTTAAAGCCCTACTTTAACTACTGTATCAATTAATATTGGGGATCTGACTTTAATGTGAAAGAGCTCCAAAGCTACCTCTTAGCATTTTGACTACAAAACTGTTGTTGAATCAGATAATTCCACTGGGCATTGGTTCCACTTTCCTTCAGACTGTCCCAATTTGTTGGCTCTAATCCAATCCTGGAGTCAACAAAATCCCACAATAACTAGACCAGTTTTTATTTCACTAGGAGGGTGGTGAAGCACTGGAATGGGTTACCTAGGGAGATTGTGGAATCTGCATCCTTAGAGGTTTTTAAGGCCCGGCTTGACAAAGCCCTGGCTGGGATGATTTAATTGGGGTTGGTCCTGCTTTGAGCAGGGGATTGGACTAGATGACCTCCTGAGGTCTCTTCCAACCCTAATCTTCTATGATTCTATCATCTGTTTATTTCAAACTCCAGATTAGCTTGGGTTTTCTTTCTACCAAATATCTTATTTCTATTTTAATGGTATTTACTCTGAGATCATCTTTATCCCCTTGAAATACAAGAGAATCTAAATTAGCCCTTTAATCCAACTGATGTTTGTGATGTTAGAGTAGCATTGCAATATAAAATACATAAAACCGATTTTATTTTGCATTGTAGGCGAGTAGCGTTACTGCTTTTCTGACTCATTTCTGACCCACAGTGGGATGAGAACTGAGTCTCTTAAGATGATTGTAAACATTGTCATTATCTAAGTTAAAGCATGGTTTTTTAAAAAAGTTGAATGTGGTTTGGCCCATCCTCTCTGGTCAGCCTGAGCTGTGTTAAAACTGTTTTAGTGTGAAGGGGTTTTTACACTATTTTTAGAAACACTTTAGGACACATGCCTTAAAACTCACTCTTACTTATTCTAATCCCTTGCCTCAGTTTCCCCATCTATAAAATGAAGACATTTTCTTACCTTACAGAGATAGTATTATGCACCATTTGTTAATGTTTGTAAAATATTGAGATTTTGAGTAGATGCTATATAAATACATAATCTTGATTAATTTTTATTTTTATAGTTCAAACAAAACACTGGTGAGTAGGGCTGCAGTCTGGCAAAACTCTTAAGCACATGCTTAACTTTCCAATGGGATACTCACATGCTTAATGTTAAGTGTGTATTTAAATACTTTGCTGGACTGGGGCCTCATTGGATATTTAGGTCTCAAACTGCTTATTCAATCAGTATGGAATTGGCATCCATAGGCACCGACTTTGTGGGTACTCCGGGGCTGGAGCACCCACAGGGAAAAATTTGTGGGTGCTCCGCACCCATAGACAGCCAAGCTCCCCCCACCCTCTCCTCACCTCCTCCTCCCCCCTCCCCATCCTGAGCACACCACGTCCCCACTCCTCCCCCTCCCTCCCAGCTCTTCCCCTGCTGCCAAACAGCTGTTTGATGGCAGTTAGGACTTTCTAGGAGGGAGGAGGAGGAGCAGGGATGAAGCCAATTCGGGGGAGGAGGTGGGGCAGGGGCGGGAACTTGGGGGAAGGGGTGGAATGGGGCGGGGAGGGGGCAGGGCTGGGGTGGGAAAAGGCAGGGCAGGGACTTTGGGGAAGAGGGTGGAATTGGGGCAGGGTGAGGGCGGTGCAGGGGCGGGGCCGTGGGAGCGGGGG